AGGTGGAGCCCCGGGGGGTGGGGGACTGAGACTGCCTGTGCTTCCCCCTAGGATGCAGCGGTGGCCAGTGCTGCTCTTCCTGGCCTGGGTCTGCTTTCTCTTTTTCGCTGGTATCGGGCTTTTCATGAGCGGCTTCCTGCTCACCCGGATTGAGCTTGCCAGCAGCAGTTCTTGCTCAGACCCGCTGGTGCCACCACCCTGGGAGAGGCAGAGCCTCCCGCCGGGCTCCTGTTGGGCACCCCAGCGCTTTTCCAAGGCCGTGCTCGTCATCATTGATGCCCTCCGTTTTGAGTTTGCCCGCTTTAACCCAGCCAAGGCCAGCCCGCTGCCCTATGAGAACAAACTGAGTTTCCTGCACCACCTCGCAACCTCCCAGCCCCGCCATGCCCGTCTCTACCGCTTCCGAGCTGATCCCCCCACCGCCACCATGCAGCGCATCAAGGGCCTCACCACCGGCTCACCCCCCCTCGCTCCCCACTTCCATCGACGTGGGCAGCAACTTTGCCACCTATGCCATCCAGGAGGACAACCTGCTGGCGCAGCTGGTGCAGAATGGTAGGTGGGCGAGGGCAGTGTCCCACTGGGACAGAGCATGTGAAAAACACTGGTCAGCACTCACCAGGACCTTTATTCTCCTCTCCCTGGGAAGGGAACTGCTTACAGCACCTCCACCCTGTCAGCTAATTGTTTTGCGCTACTCAGATGATACTTGTCTCAGGCAGAGCTGTCACACAGGCAGGGTTTCTTCGCCTTCAGCTGGGAGTAAGAAGTAGCTGGGACCATGGCTTTGTCTTCATCACCTTCAAAGATGACGAGAAAGCAAGTGAAAGTGTCTGTGATGGTGACTGTTACAAGGTCACCATCAGGAATGGACGTACAAAGCCAAGGGCAGTCAGTCGTCTCCTGTTAGCGTTCAGGTGAGACGCACGGCGAGGGAGGAGCTGCTGCCAGGTGTGCTGTGGGGTTGTCACTGAGGCAGCAGCTGCCTCCGGCTGTTAAGCAGCAACCTCATCACATTGTTTTATATGATTTGGTGCTGCTAGGGTGTGCTTAGTGCAGCTGTAAAGGGTTTGTTAGTGGGGGATGATAGAGTAGAGACAAGGGGACAGGGTGCAGTCTTGTGTCAGTCAGAGAGTTTCCCTTCCAGGGCTCAGAGTGGCACAAATACCAGTGCGTGTGATGAGGCAACATGACTGGGTTGTCTGCTTCCCCTGTGTGTGAGGAACGTGGGCAAAAGTAGTAAATCATTCAAGGTGAAAAATGCCAGTAGACTCCTGCGCCAGAGCAGTGGCCTTGGAGGACACAGTTCCTCCTCCCAGGCTGGAGGGGCTCTGCGGAAACACGGAGGGCTGGCTGATGGCAGGCAGAGCGAGGGCAGTGGGAAGCATCCGTGCTTTTGCCTTCTCTTTTCTGCCTATGAAAACTCACCACTATTGTGTTTAAAGCTGGAGCCCAGGGCGCACAGCTTTCACAGAACCCCTGTCAGCAGCCATCTACAGTCTTGTCATTTACAGTGGGGTCACGGTACTTGGGCGAAGGTTTTGTCAGCTTTGTGCTCCAGCTTCTGAAGCTC